TGGAAATATCATTTTTAAGCTTTAACAAATTACATCGCGGCTGCCATCAAGGAGGAAGTTTAACCAAATAATAGATCCAGTAGTCGCCTGAAATAAGTTTTTGGCTTTTTAGCCGAAGAGAATTTGGTGTTTTATATGTAATCATCTAGACTTCGATTCGCGTAAGCACACAGTCAAATTTTTGATGCTAAGATTCGACACACCATAAACGAGAAAAATTTCAAAGGGAAAAGCTGATTGGTTGCAGATTTCTTGGAATCATGAAGCAACTTATGTTTCGTGATATGAAGATCCTAAGGTGATCAAGCTGATGTGTTGGTTCAATTTGAAGTAGGGCGTTTTACGTACATGTCATAAGAATTTGCGAAAGCCAAGTGGTACATATACCGTCCGAGTGCCATCATCAAATCAACCTACTTTTCTTTGTTCTCTTGTATTCTTTGACTGATTTCTCCTTGATCGCACAATTAGCGTCTACATAAAGGAAATAGAACAGACATACAGAAAGGATTAATCGAAGAATGAAGAATGAAATTTGTCGTTTTCAAGCTGTACACCAACCTCAACCATGTTATATTTTGGTGGCAAATGTGATGGACTGATTGTGACAGTTTCAAAATTCAATCACATAAGATGTTGGTAGCAAGTTACAGTAGGATTTGATCTACCGAAAACAATTTTATAATATACGAACTTATGATCAACTTCCTCAAACCAGTAATTTATTGAGTAATACGGATCCAATATGTCTCTTACCGTTGGCTAACACAGTACAGCTGTTTGATTCATCTTGTCAAGCGCAATCAGGACTGTTTACGTAGCAAATTCATGGAGATTTGAACCCAGCCAAAAAGAGTTATCATTTTATTGAGGCAACCAATTGAGCTAACCCTCAGTAGTTTACTTTACGTGATTTATTGACCGATTCTGGTTTTTCATTTTTGGAAACTTGTCTGGATCAGTGAGGCCACGTGAGCTCCTAACCAATCAAGTGTAACGATCTGCCAACGGTGACTATACATGAACAATCCCTTCTTTCGTATCGTGTTGATAATGCAATGGCTTTTGGGACCCAGATGGTATATAACTAATTCTAAAGTCATTTCTTTCCACTCATCTCAGCCGTTCCCCTACCTCAACATTTACACTTCATCCTTCTCATTTTCATATTATGTGACTCCTTTTGATTTACTTAAGTGACCAATTTCCTACTCTGCTATCTTTCTACGTTCTTTTTTTATTCCTTTCTGGGTGTATCTATTTCGCATTACGTCACCATTTTCAAATTTCTTTCCTTCACGGTTATTCGTCTTCCATTACGTAACTGTTGCTATGCTAGCATCCTCTTTTTCTGAATCTTTGTAATCGTTATCCTCTTTCAGTTATTTCCAGAAGACTTTCGTAATAACTCAACAGCCCATTGCCTTTCGTTTGAACCCATGTATTCTAACTGTTCATATAACATTATAACATTCCGACCTATTCAATAAGCGCAGATTGAGAGCACGTGAAGTCGATGAATAATATCAGTTCTGTTCATACTATCTCATTTGTGTTTACTCGAATGAATCAAAGGGTAAGGATGTTTCTGATACATCATAATATATACCAACATTTGGGATGATCCAAAGCAACCGTCTTGTTTCTTCACGTGTAATGTTCAGTTCAAGTTTAACTATGAGATCTATCCGCAAAAGGATGCCGTGGTCATGAGATCTCCGCTGTGATCAATTTTTGCGGTCATATTCATGTTGAAACTTGAAAGTACTCGTTTATAGTCCTCCACAAATGTAGATGATATTTTTGTGTGAATAACGCAACATCGAACACAACGGAAATATCAAGTAGGTTCAACATTTGTCATCCTAATGGACTGTAACAACAAACTGTTTGTTTCACTCGTCAAATAGGTAGTTCGGTGCAGCATTCGGTGTATAAAAAGGTAGCTTTTAAAGAACAATAGATCCATTTCCGAAGCTTTGTATCACTTAAGGTAAAAAGGTTTGTCGCCTAGCGTCCATGGTAAAATGGTCTGCCGTGAGGACACGTTGGAAGAAAATCTCCGTGTTATGACGTCGATCTTTGCACGTAAGGGTTATCCTGAACTTTTAGCCAACAAGATGATTCAGTTGACTGAGAACACTTAACCAAGCTTAAGAAAAATCCTTATACATTTCTTTGCCGTTTAAGGTGGACATATCAGCTTAAATCAAACCAAGAATTCGGAAGTATACTTTCTCCGTAACGAATTTGAATAGAGGAGTCAAAATACAGGTTTGCAAAATGTATCCTGAAACATTTCGCTGCATCTATACACGTGCTTACTGCAGTTTGTGATCACTAGTATATGTTCAGTAAATAACAGAATCATAGGCGGGGAAAGATGCTAAGAAGATCATCGGGCGCAGTTGATTAGACTTTCTGTTCATTAAAGCTTCGTGTGTTGTTCACGTCGAAGCCAATTGTGTATACGATTGTGGGACAGAGTTCCCGACTCTGCGGTCTCATTCCGTATATACTCTTTTACTCGTTTCTATTGAACAACATACATAAACCGCATGGTCAGGAGATAGTCCGAACGGATTCGTGAACACTACTTTGCCTGGCTAAAAACCAGAACGATTAAGTCACCAGTGCAGTTGTTTGACACGCTACAGTCAATCTTCGACTATATCACACCCATCGGGTGTTCGGGAAAGTGCGTAAATTCCAGAAACGGCGACATAGCACGTTAGCCAGTAGTAAATGAAATTCAGTTCTACATCTGTAAACTCACCATTCTGATGCCAATTAAGCGGCCGGTATGACACATTTGCATGTGTGCATTTGGTCTCACTTCAACTGATCTGTCGCTGACAGCGGTTCTGCTCGACAGATATGATGCAGCAAACCTGCTCTTATTCAATGATCATTAAAAGACGTTACAACTTCTGGCGAGTAGAATGGTCATGAAAGAAATCCAACAACTGTCTTTGTTATTTTTCATATTCACAATGATCAAATATCACAGATTCGGCCATCGACCGAACCAACCAAAAAGATGAGCTGCGTACATTGGCCACTTCTAGAGAGATAGGGTGACAGGATGGCATCTTGAAGTACACCCCAGCTATTGAGTGATGCCGTTGACTGTCTTCTTCCCAACTTAACATACTGATATATTTGCGAAAATTAATCCGCAAGTCAAGAAGAGAAGAGGGACAGCCAAAAGATAGGAGCTTTTTAAGTAAAAGAGAACGGGGCACCGAGTCAAAGGTGGAAGAATAGTAAAGAAATGCACAGTGTACATATTTGGCTCTATCGTTAAGGGACTTACAGATGAAATGAACTAGAGCAATCTAGAGCGGTTATGTTTGTATGCAAACTGATAAGTATCATCGAGGGTGGTAAGGGATAGCAGAAGGCAATGCAGAATTGATCGCTCCATCAATTTCAAACCTGTCTGAAATGCTTTGCTACTGGGGCCTTTGACGTTTCTTTGGGGATAGGCGTAATTCTCACTGGAACAGTTCGGAGTTCGGGTGAAAGATTAGCTATGTGTGCGAAAATGTGAGACAATGGTGCCGTGTTTAAGACGGGTAGGACTTAAGTTGTCTGGACCAGGTGCGGTCGACACCTATAGAGAACACGTGTTTATACATCTCACTAGAGGTGAAGGGGTCGAACGAAGGTTGGATGTTTGGAGAACTGAAATCAACATAACTGGGGTATGTGTCGGGCGAAGAATGAACAAATTCTGCATCCAGTTTTTCAATATCAATAGAAGGACTGGAAATCACTTTTTCTGCCTGCAGAGTAGAGTGATTCCACACCACATAGGATTAAAGTTCCTCGTCCGAGAAAAACTGACTTGCATAGAGGGCGTCCAACCGTCTTAGAAAGTCGCCACATTTCGGTCCTCCTGCCACATTCAAATGCACGTTCCTTTTCACGACGAAGGCGTTTAAGAAAAGGTATTGATATTCTGCCATGTTGAAGGAACAATATTATCACAGGGCAACATATGTCAAAAACAGTTTAACACTTCTGCAAGAAATGTCATATTGGACAAGCATGTCGGGTTTAAAGGAAAACAATCAATAACTGCCTTAAGAGACTCTTTAAGCAAGGCAATATTGTCTCGGGAAAGATCTCGCTGACGGAACATGGTGTATGGGCATATTTATGTTTTGTTAATATATTTGTTAATGAATTTTGCTTTACTTTGTTGCTATGCTAAACATTGTATTTTCTGGAGTATGCACCATGTTGAGATGCAGCGAAATCGTCCTGGACATAAAACGTGCAGTATTGTCATATGGTCTTTTCTTTTGAAATTAATAATTGCGTCCACAAATCGATTGATGCACATTTGAAACGATAGTTTCTGATGCACTGCATTTACTGATGACCTATACTGCTCATTTCTGGTTCCGTCCGTGGTGAAGGTAGCTCACTGGTGCGCGACACCGTTTTGAGGCATATGGTTTGCAGTCAGTGTTTTACACTATTCTTATTGGTCCATTCAGTTTTCGTACACAGGCAGCCAATCAGATCCACGCGACGGAGAATCTAACCACAGGGATGAAAACGCATACCGCGTACACGCCTTCCGATGATTACTAGATTGAGGATGATGCGAAAATAGCTAGGTGGGGAGGGGGTGGAAACAGGAATGGTGTGTTGTATCATATTGATGCAGATCGTTTGCGCTGTGTGGTTGGTTGGAAAATGCAAAGGGGTGCGAGTTTGATCCGGAGAAAGAGGGGACCTGTGTGTGTGTGTGTGTGTGTACCACGAGGACAAACACAGGAGGCGTAAAAGAGTCGCAATAATCTAATGCATATCTTCGGATGTCAGAAGTAGAACCAGAAATAACCAGAGACAGGGAGAGATATCGCAAACACGTTTTTTTTTAATTTGTGTATTAAAAAATATTTCTCTCTACTTCCTGTCCAACAATCGCATGTACAGCGGTTTTCTGTGTGACTAAATCAATCCAGTGCACAATGTATTTTGAAATGATGTTGACGATTTCTCATGCACGCGTTGTATTCTTCGTGTCCTCATCCAGAAAGAACACCGCATTGTTATTTGTCATCTGCTGTCTGTTTATTCATGCCGCCAGTTTGCCACCAAAATTGACCTATATGGTCAAAGAGGAAGTTCGTGTGCACACATTTGTTGGAAATGTATTATTGGATGTGCAATTCCCCGACACCAATCTGTCTAACACTCGTTTGCAAGCCCGAACGGAATCGCTTAGCTTGTACGAGCTTAGTGTACAGGGGGCAAATTTGTTCCAGTTGGATTCAGAAACCGCGGATCTGTACACCAGTGCTCGTATCGATCGTGAAGCTGTGTGTCCTCGGACAAAACCACGCATAGACAAGGAATCGAGTATCGGTTTGGTGGCATTGATGAAAGATTTCGCCCAACCGAACGCGAATGAACCGGTTAAAGTGGATAAATGTACATTGGAATTCGCGGTGGTTCGTAAATTACGCGGGATCGCTGAAGAACAGTGGGTCTCGTTGACGATCGAGATTGAGGATGTGGATGATAATGCTCCCACATTTCTGGAATTTACCGCGCCCGACTGGAGTGGATTTCATAATATTTGGATTCGAGAAGATATTCCTATCGGCTACAAATACCCTTTGCCAAATGCATTTGATGCAGATATCGGCCTAAATGCATTGATTAATTATCGATTGGAATTTGAATCACCTAATCAAATGGTTAAGCCTATGTTTGACTTGGATCCGGATTCTGTGAGGGACCAAATGGGCAATGACT